AGCGCTCCGCCCCGTTCAGGCAGTCGGATCAGCTATTTGTATGCTTCGGTGGCCGCACCAAGGGTTCTCCGGTCACGAAGCAGAGACTTTCTAAATGGATAATTGAAGCTATTATGCTAGCATACTCTTCTTTGGGCCTTCAATGCCCCATGGGAGTAAGAGCCCACTCAACTAGAGGCGTTGCCTCTTCCTGGGCCTGGTCTAGCAGTGTGTCCATTGCAGAGATTTGTGCGGCGGCCAGCTGGGCCTCGCCGTCCACATTTGCCAGGTTTTATAATCTGGACATCCCGGCCTTACAGGCTCGGGTCCTTTCTGCATAAACAGGGCACTCTGTCATTTGACAAAACCAGTGCTTGGCGTTTGCCATCTTCATGTACGCTCTTGGCCCTCACTGAGCTCCGAGGCTGTACTAAATTATCTTGGGACGATTATACAAGGCTGGACATCTCGGCCTTACAGTCTCGGGTCCTTTCTGCATAAACAGGGCACTCTGTCATATGACAAAACCAGTGCTTGGCATTTGCATTCTTCATGTACGCTCTTGGCCCTCACTGAGTTCCGAGGCTGTACTAAATTATCTTGGGATGATTATGCAAGGCTGGGCTGACCTCTGTGAGTTTGGCCCTACTGCCTCCTGCGCGGCTTCCCTGCAAAATACTTGGTCCCTCTGGGCCCCCCTTGGGTGCTTAATGCAAGTTCAAGTATTAGCCGTTCCTCTAGCATAGCACGGTGGGATTGTACTGGTTCCCCAAAGCATCTTAGCAGATGCAGTACGAGTGAAGTATCGATAGGGAACGTACTTGGTTACTAACTTAACCTCGGTTCCCTGAGATACGGAACGAGTACTGCGTACTTTGCCATGCTATGAAGCTGCACGACTCAGTCGTCGCTTCAGTCGAAGTAACCTGAGGATCCTATGGCGAAATGCCCGATTATATAGCCAGATGGCCCCACCCATTCTGGCAGGCTTTGTCGCCATAGGCTCGTGCAGCTCTGCTGCCGAGCCATTGGTTAGTTTTTTTATTAACTGCACAACCAATGGCCGTGCATTTACACTGTGTTATTAAAAGGCTTCAGTCATTGGAGAAAAAGGAGTTTTTCCCCAAAGGGTCTTAAACGGATTTATATAGCCAGATGGCCCCACCCATTCTGACGGGTTCTGTCGCCATAGCTCTGCTGCCGAGCCATTGGTTCATTTTTTATTCACTGCACGAACCAATGGCCATGCAGTTACACTGCGTTATTGAAAGACTTCAGTCATCTGAGAAAAAGGAGTTTTCCCCAAAGCGTCTTAGCAGACGCAGTACTCGTTCCGTATCTCAGGGAACCGAGGTTACGTTAGTAACCAAGTACGTTTTTTAGTCTAAATAAAAAGGGTAGTAGAATTGTAAAACGAATCGATGCAATTATGAACATTTGATCAAATGAAGCGAGCATGCCATAGTTGTGTTTGGAATCATTTTACTTTAAAGAGTGATAATGTTAATTGCAAACATTGCTAAAACATTGGTTATTGTTGACTGTATAGTTTCTTATCCCTTCACAGAGACCGCTGAATGTGCAGTTATAATGGTGCTTCTTTTTTGTATTTTAAAACACAGTTTTGATGTTTGTAAATAACACTATTACCATTTAAAGTAAAGTGATCCCAGATTTGACTATGGAGCGTAGGGCTGTGCTGGTCTGTGGACTAAGAACTATGCCCGGCTGTGGTATGGCAACACATTTTTGCACGCTTTGTTTACAATATAAATAATTGGTTATCAGGCAAATATTACATCTTGCCCATGTAAACATTTGGATACATGCCGATTGACAGAGGTGATAGAATCCCATAAATTTAAATTAAGCCATATGCGGCTTTGTGTACTTTTTTGCGGCTTGATCACTCGAATTTCCACATTTTAACAATATTACAATATTAATAACACTACTTATTAATTTGTTCCCTCATTTTAGTTGAGGCATGTCCACATTGTACTAATTTCATGCTTAGTTTTACTTTAAAGAGAGAACAAATCAATGAGCCGTGGCCAGAAATTTAAGTTATAGGAGTGAATTATTCATATTTTTTTTATATCTACATTCAGCTTCATGTGGGGCCTAGAGATTTTACACACACCAGTAATTCAGTTTAGCTTTCCCCCAGCACAACATCTAATATAAGTGTCTGGCTTGTGCAGAAAATATAATTCCCTTTTATGACCTTTTACAAACAGATTCAGTTTCTTTGGATTATTATTATTTTTGTCAATTAATTGATCAGTGATTAATTATTAGCATCGCTAATTGAGATAAGTTTATAATTAACTATATCTCCTGGGTCGAACTGTGCTTTTTTTAATAAAGGGTTTAACTGCCAGCTTAAAGGTTTTTGGGACATGACCTCAAGAAAGTAATATTGTGAAGAGCAGCGTTTCTCAACTCTGACCCTCAAGGTCCCCTTTTCTGAAACCTTGATAAAAACTCACCTGCCTTTAACTTTCAAATAATACAGAAGACGTTGATTAGTATGTACAGGTGTGTTTGATTAGGGTTTGAGCTAAACTCTGAAGGAAAGGGGGTTTCAAGGGCCAGAGTTGGGAACTTCCAGCAGGTGTTTTGGGGCAAGTAGGACAGTGGCCTCCAGAGCAGGTTTGGACACTTCTGGTACAGGGTCTAGCATACATGTTGTTGGTTTTTTACACACCTTAAATATTTGATGTCTGTTGTATTGTGCCATTAAACTTGGGATAACTTTTATTTGTTTGTGTTTTTTTTCACTTTAGGCCTAATAGCAATGAAAGAGAAAGAAGTACTGAATGAAATTGAAGAGAAAGATCAATATGGGAATCTTCATGATTTCACAACTGGAGAAAAATCTTTTAGACGTTCGCAGACTGAAAAGACTTCCACACGAAAAAAAGCTCAAAGAAGTTATTTCACTTGCTTTCAGTTTGGAAAGAGTTTCAATCAACAAGGAAACCTTAAAGTCCTCACTGGAGAGAAGCCTATCACCTGCCAACAGTGTGGAAAATGTTTTGCTAAACATGGAAACCTTAAAGTTCACATGAGGATTCACACTGGAGAGAACCCTTTTACCTGCCAACAGTGTGGAAAAAGTTTTACTCAACATGGAAACCTTAAAGTTCACATGAGGATTCACACTGGAGAGAGCCCTTTCACCTGCCAACTCTGTGGAAAAAGTTTCACTCGTAAAGAAAGTATTGATAGGCACATGAGAATTCACACTGGAGAGAGGCCATACACATGCCAACAGTGTGGAAAGAGTTTCAGTCAACTTGGAAATCTTAAAGCCCACGTGAAAATTCACACTGGTGAGAGCTTTTTTACCTGCCAACAGTGTGGAAAAAGTTTCAATCAAAAAGAAATCCTTAAAAGGCACATGAGAATTCACACTGGAGAAAAGCCTTACACATGCTCTCAATGTGGAAAAAGTTTCCATCAACATGGAAACCTTAAAGCGCACATAAAAATTCACACTGGGGAGAGCCCTTTTATCTGCCAACAGTGTGGACAACGTTTCAAGCATAAAGTAAGCCTTAACAAGCACGTGAGAATTCACACCGGAGAAAAGCCTTACACATGTCAGCAGTGTGGTGAGAGTTTTGCTCAGCGTGTAAACCTTAAGGTCCACATGAGAGTCCACACTGAAGAGAACCCTTACACATGCCTTCGTTGTGGTGAGAGTTTTGCTCAACTTGTAAACCTTAAAGTCCACATGAGAGTCCACAATGGAGAGAACCCTTACACATGCCAACAGTGTGGAAAGAGTTTTGCTCAGCGTGTAAACCTTAAAGCCCACATGACAATACACAATGGAGAGAGTCCCTTCACCTGCCAACAATGTGGAAAAAGTTTCGCTCATAAAGGAAGCTTTAACGTCCACATGAGAATTCACACTGGGGAGAAGCCCTACACCTGCCAACAGTGTGGAAAGAGTTTCTCTCAAAAAGGAAGTCTTAACTGGCACATGACTGTTCACACTGGAGAAAAGCATTACACCTGCCCTGAGTGTGGAAAGAGTTTTGCTCATCATGGAAACCTTAAAGTCCACATGGTAATTCACACTGGAGAGAGCCCTTTCACCTGCCAACAGTGTGGAAAATGTTTCACTCGCAAAGAAAGTATTGACAGGCACATGAGAGTTCACACTGGAGAGAAGCCTTACACATGCAAACAGTGTGGAAAGAGTTTCAGTCAACATGGAAACTTTAGAGTCCACATGAGAATTCACACTAAATAGAACACTTACTCCTGCCCTCAGTGTGGAAAGTGTTTCACTCAAAAAGAAATCCTTAATAGGCACATGTGAATTCATACTGGAGAGAACCGTCGTAGTTGCTCACAAACTGAAAACACTCCCTCATGAAAAATGGCTCAAAAGAGAGGGACTAGAATTCATTTCAGCTGCTAACAGTGTGGAAACGGATTCAGTCAAGGAAGCTATTACAGGCACATGGAAATTCGCACTGTTGAAGCCTTACACGTGTGGAAAGACTTTCAGTAATAAAGGACACTTTGAAATCCACTTGAGCATTCACACCGGAGAGAAGCCTTACACCTGCCAACAGTGTGGAAAGAGTTTCAGAAATAAAGAAATCCTTGAGTTCCACGTGATGAGACAGGATTCACCTTAGGAATCATGTAATAACTCCCACCAGATAGAAGCCTTTCATGGGCCGTCGCTGTAGAAAGACTTGCAGAAAAAAAGCAAACCTTAGGCATACCTGCAAACTAGTTGCTTTTCGGCGAAATTCGCTGTTTTGAATCAAAATGTCATTTATGTGAATCGTCTAGATCCGAAGTATTGCATTTTTCCGAACATTTTTAACTTGAATGTTCAAAAATATTTAAAACATTAATCTTGTAAAATTATTTATGCATTTCAAATGTTGTGGTGTAAATGCATTCATGGCACCTCAGCTTCATTAAACCGTCTGTGTAAATGCATCTAATGCCACTTCAGATGCAGCTTCTGTGTTTCCTCTGCAGTGAACAGATGGAGTTTGTTGATAGTATGCGCACTCTAATGCGAACATTAAAATTAGCAAAAATAAATTACTCCACTGTTCACAAAGAGAAGTATGACAAGAGAGTTGCACTGTCCGAAAAGTTTGAGGTATAAATGTGCTTTTTTTACTTGAAGCATATGTTGTCTTTTTCCTTTATTTTGTTGTCAGAGTGCACCAGCACGCTTCATTTACATGTTAAATTAAATAACATTACCCCCCAGACCCCCCTACAAGGGTCATATTCCGAACTATGTCACCTTTTTGACCTCTTGTGAGTTTGCAGGTATGCTTAAGGATCACACAAGCATCTCCAATATACTCTGTAACTCCCCCATGCTCACATACACATAACACACACACATAAAGACATTATCTTTAGGCCATAATTAAGTGGTTATAAATGTATCTAGTATATGCATGTGTTGTATATGTCCCACTATTATATTAGCCTAGTTACAACTCTTTGTTTGTATAAGTTAAGCTATAAATGCTTATATCCAGGTGTATGAATGTAGCTCTGCTTTAAGATCTTCTAGATATGTCTTTCATGGTATCAAAATGATCTGCTCTTTATTTCTCAAGCAATGGTGTAAACTATGTGATCGTGAAACGCATCATACTATTTCTACTATACTTTAGGTAAAACTGCACCAATTATCCAGACCAGCAATAAATATGCAAACAAAAAAATCTCCCGCTCAAAATTCACGCCTTGTATTGGCCATTCCACCAAAGATGGGTCTGACTGAGAAACCATTAAAAGACCCCCAAACTCTCCAAGTGGGACTTTTTTTCTTCTGGTTCCTAGTTATTCCTCTCCTTCAGAGATGCTCTCCTCCTTCAGAGAGTTTTCTCCTTCAGACACAGCCTTCGGTCCTTTTTGGCACTTTATTCATGAACTAACTCAGCGTGAATTACCCGTGGACCAACTCCTGCTGGAAGACCCACAAGGACAACGCCAACGCGCTACGTTGAACTCAACCGTTCCCAACATTTCAGACTCTCAATCCACATCAAAACCAATGCCGGTAACCGTCAGATACTGTAAGTGTAACCCCTTTTAAAAAATGGTGACGTCTCATTGCTGGCTCTTATAGGGCTGGGATGTAAAGTTTGCCATTCTGTGTCTTTCTGTGTCTATCTCTCAGTCACATATACCGTTTTGTAATGCTACATTTATGCGTAGTTTTGCTGTATTATACCTAGTCCCATTTATTAAACTTGTTCATATAAACTCTTGATTGTCTCTGTGTTCGCTGCTCACGAATCAAGGTCACCTGACGTGTGATTTCGGTACATGCTCTTAACACAGTTTAGTATGAAGAGTGAGAAAATTATTCTTCTTGGCCAGGAGGTACATCCATTAATGTACTATCCGTTCGGTGGACGAATGGATCACCGATTGATTTAAATATTAATAATTATTTATAACAAGTTATGAGTAATGTAAATTAATATTTCCCCTTTTGCTACAATTTGGCACCTTCTACTGTTTTATAAGGCTAATATATTTTAAAACCATTTAAAACTAAACTATTGCCTCATTGCTATTATATATGCACTTTAAGTAATGTTAAAGGCTGTTGTTCAGTTAGGTCTGTTCTAAAAAATATATAAAATGATCAGATTACTTGATTAATCATTAAAATAATAAATCAATTACTCGATTACCAAAATAATCGTTAGCAACAGCCCTAAAGTTCAAAGCTGTGCAACCCTAGTTCTAAAGAATTATTTGTGTTTCTTGACTGTCGTATATGTCGAGGAATTTAGTTTCCCATTTCCGTTTTCTTTTATAAATGCCTTAAGAGCCACCTCGTCTCCAAGCGAAACTTCCAGGACCTTCAGGCCACATCTAAGGTGCAGGTCCAAGATGGAGACATGGCCCTCCTGCACCGTTGTCATTCTCACCGGTTGTATCTGCAGAATAAGAGGCCAACATGTAAGTAATTCAGGTCAAATCACACTCATTCTGTTCTATCTAAAGTAACTGTAATTGAACTGTTGCACAACATTGGTGATAAATGAACATATCAGAATGATTTCTGAAGGATCGTTCAATCTGGGAAGAGTACTACAGCCATTTTCAAACAATTTGAAGTCCATCATTCTACAGTGAGGACGTTTATTCACAAGTGGAAGACATTCAAGACAGACACCAATCCTCCCAAGAGTGGACGTCCCAGCAAATTCACCCCAAGGTCAGACTGTGTAACGCTCAGAGAAATGGAAGACAACCCAAGAACTTCAACAGGACTCAACAGCCCGCAGTTAACGTGATAAATGATAGAGTTCATGACAGTACAAACAGAAGAAAGACGGGACAAGTATGGCATGTCTGAAAGGCTTACCAAATGGAAAGCCTCTTCTCTATAAAAAAAATACGGCAGCACAGTTTAGCTGTGCAAAGTTGCATCTGAACAAACCATAAGACTTCTAGAACAATGTCCTTTGAACGGATGAGACCAGAGTGGAGTTTTTGGTCATGATTTGGGGCTTGTGTTTCAGCCACAGGACCTGGGCACCTCACAGTATAGCCGTGTTTCCACAGTCTCTTCCAGGGTTTGATCGTGCCTCGTTGGGGCCAATGGCCAGGCGAAAAACTTGGGCCAAAGCGGGCCTGCTTAGGCTTGAGGAGTGGTTTTGAACAAAGGAGAGCATCAGCACCACGGTTTATTTCATATAGTTACCAGCTATAACACCAGCATTAAATATTATTAGCTCAAAACTCACTTTGAGACAGCAGCGAGGGTTTGAAATAACTTTTGTGTGAGATCTGATGTGGATTATGGTCACCGTACAAGGAAGACATATTTATATGCGATGCAAAAGCCATTAGTGAACATGGTAAATACGACCGCTTGAAGAAATCAGAAAAATCATGTAGGCTATCTGTCAATAAGTCTAAACTCTTTGTATCTGACCGGCTGATATTTAGCTCCTCGTATGTCTTCAAATATATCATAGTTTTTGTTTGGGAGCTCCCTCTGTTTCTCTGACTGAAAATATAACTATGTTTTGAGACTTCAGTGTGACGTAGACCTAAAAATACTGTCTGTGACTACAAATAAAAAGAAACGGGCACAAATGAACATGTCGTCTTTCTTTTGTGAAATAACGGTTATTTCTGTGTGACTAATTTGCAAACCTGACACAAATTAATTCATTGTGATCAATGCATCACTTATTGTAACTGGTAAAACACTGATGCTTTGGTTTTAAATCTAATTTAAAACAAAAAATACAAACAAACGGCCGCTATTATCATGTTCGTTTTGTGATCTCGTTAGATCCAGACACGGACGAACCAAATGCAGATGAAACGTTTGACCGAAATTCCAGAATTGTCAGCAATTTTGTGTGGTGAATGTTTATGGTTATCAACCAATGGGATATTAGTTTACATTTTACTTTTTCCAACAACAAAGCACTTGAATGCGACGAGCTCGTAGTCACAACTTCACAAAGAGGAAATTTCCCATAGCATGTGAAGGCAGCATTACTTTACGAGTACGTTTTCATTCGTACTTATCCATTTACATTATTAAATACCCAGGCACACAAGTAATATGAAGAATACTAATTATTTCAGGAAAATAAAATAACTGGATATTGCATATGCAATTTAATATCCCTACTGAAAAAAAAAAAAGCAATAGAAAACCATCCCAAAAATTCTATTATAAAACGGAGAGTTCCGGTGCTTGATTCTGATTGGCTGAGCCACGTTCGAAGCTGTTGTAAATTACTCTACAGAGTAACATAAACCTTTGTTTACGTTTGTGTGTTGCTCGGCAACCACTTTGTTACAACCACAACTGTTTCTGAGGAGTTACATTGTTTGGTGGAAGAATACTGTTTTTATTAATATCATTACACTTTATTTGCTCTGTTTTATTTTGTGAAACCTTACTACGTATATGGAATAACCGTTTTATAAAAGCAATAATCCCCGTGAAGCCGTGGTTTACAGTGAATTTATAACAGCTAAGGGGCGTTGTTAGGTACGACGCAAAGCGGAGCCGTATAAACCACGGCTTCACAGGGCTTTTAACCATTAAAACCATTCCTGTAGTGTGTTTTGGGACGTAGACCTATTCCATTAGGATTTAGTGGATTTAACAAGCCACCAATAGAAGGCAACCAGTTACCAGTAGAGACCAATAGGCATCATTACAGTTTCCATTAAAACCAATACAACTCCCATTATAACCATTAAAACCATTACACATTCTGTGATGTATGGTTTCTACTGTTTTTTTTTTTTCAGCAGGGATGTGTACGTTTTTCTTCTGTTACGTCATATTGATATTGGCACTGGCATTAAATGGCAGGTAAATTAATTGAGAGAGAACTGAGAGAGAAATAAACTGAGAGAGAAACTCAACAAACACAGACACACAGTTAGGCTTCGGTTTGAAATGTGTGGCCTTCTTTCACAGGCTTTTGGCTGCTTTATTTTTGACTAACCAGCAGACGAGGCTGCTTTCGACACACTCGAAGCTTTGAATCTTTCCCCAGAAGAGTCCGAGGGAAAGTAATATCCGAGGCTTCATTTGCCCGTCCGCACTCCAGTCCAGCGGGGGCCGCTAACACACACGTGTTTATATGCAGCAAACCACCATTAAACCTCAGAGGAAGAAGATTGGTTTCACCCTCTCTGTTGTTTTGTCTTGAAACTGTTAGAAATGCACCTTCTGTGAATAGAAAAATACAGTTTTTGAGTCAGGTCAGTAAATAACAGGAATATTCTCATCCTGACAGTCGTGACTAAGTTCTGCAGCCAGCAGGAATATCTGGAGGAGTTTCATCTGAACTGAGAAGATGGTGTTTGTTAAAGAAGAGAGTGAAGAGAACACGATTAAACCAGAACCCCGGAGAGTAAAACACGAGGAACCAGAACACTGCAGAATAAAACACGAGGAACAAGGAGGTTGGTCTTTATTCTTCATTCATCTTTAATGAGTCTTTGTGGTACATTAGGCTTACAAAGCTGTAACAATATTAAAGTTTCAAGCAGTTTTAGCTTTAGTTTTTTGTAATAGAAGCAATCTTTAGAGCTGTGGGAGCTTATGTGCTTTCGCATTTTTTGTTTGCTAGTTTCTGACAAATGAACCGTTTTTTGCTTTTATTCTAGAGTTTATTGAAGAAAGTGAGGAGAATGAAGAAGTTGTCAGACCTGGAGAAAAACCCTCGAGTTGCTCTCAAAGCAAACGGAGACATGTAAAGAAAAAGAGAACGGATAAATCTATCACCTGCACTCAGTGTGGAATGGGTTTCGCATACAAATATAGTCTTGATGCTCACATGAGAGTTCACACCGGAGAGAGACCGTACACTTGTGATCAATGCGGGAAGAGCTTCACACTGAAAGGAAACCTAACGGGACACATGAGAGTTCATTCTGGAGAGAAGCCGTTCACTTGTGATCAATGCGGGAAGAGCTTCACACAGTCATCAACTCTTAAGTTACACATGAACATCCACACTAGAGAGAAACTGCACACATGTGATCGATGCGGCAGAACGTTTCTGTGGCCTTCAGACCTGAAGAAGCACCTGAGAGTTCATACGAAGGAGAAGCCGCATTCATGCTCTGTGTGTGGAAAGAGTTTTTCACGTCTGGAACATCTGAAAAATCATCAGCGAATACACACTGGTGTGAGAGAGTACTTGTGCTTTGAGTGTGAGAAGACTTTTAAATCTGCCGAGTGTTTAAAACGGCACGAGAGGATCCACACTGGAGAGAAACCTCACAAGTGTTCACACTGTGACAAGACATTCAGTCGGTCAGGAGATCTGATAAGACACGAGAGAAATCACACTGGAGACAAAACCCTACAAGTGTGTGACAAGCGCGTTTAGAAAACGATATACTGTCATGTAGCTTTGCGACTGATTCTTCTGTGCTTCTCTTGTAAGTAGGGATCGTACCTGAGCCTGGTATTAAACAAGCCCTGGGGCTAAATTCATCTGACTATTTCTATCTATCATATATCATCTGACTCTATCTATCTATCTATCTATCTAGCTATCTATTTATTTATAGATTATCTATTTCTAGATATCATGTGACTATATCCATCTATCATCTGACTCTATCTATCAAAAACACATTAGCAACCACCCCGGGTACCCTAGCAACCGCATAGCAACACCTTTGCAACCACCCCAGGTACCTTAGCAACCACAAAGCAACACCCTAGCAACCCCCCCCCAAGTACCTTAGCAACCGCATAGCAACACCTTAGCAACTGCCCCGGGTACCCTAGCAACCGCATAGCAACACCCTAGCAACCACCCCGAGTACCTTAGCAACCACATAGCAACACCTTAGCAACCGCCCCGGGTACCCTAGCAACCGCATAGCAACACCCTAGCAACCACCCCGAGTACCTTAGCAACCACATAGCAACACCTTAGCAACCGCCCCGGGTACCCTAGCAACCGCATAGCAACACCCTAGCAACCACCCCGAGTACCTTAGCAACCACATAGCAACACCTTAGCAACCGCCCCGGGTACCCTAGCAACCGCATAGCAACACCCTAGCAACCACCCCGAGTACCTTAGCAACCACATAGCAACACCTTAGCAACCGCCCCGGGTACCCTAGCAACCGCATAGCAACACCCTAGCAACCACCCCGAGTACCTTAGCAACCACATAGCAACACCTTAGCAACCGCCCCGGGTACCCTAGCAACCGCAAAGCAACACCCTAGTATCCACCCTGGGTACCCTGGCAACCGCATAGCAACACCTTAGCAACCAGCCCGGGTACCTTATCAACTGCATAGCAACACCTTAGCAACCAGCCCGGGTACCTTATCAACTGCATAGCAACACCTTAGCAACCACCCTGGGTACCTTAGCAACCGCATAGCAACCACCCCAAGTACCCTAGCAACCGCATAGTAACACCCTAGCATCCACCCCGGGTACCCTAGCAACCGCATAGCAACACCCTAGCATCCACCCAGGGTACCCTAGCAACCGCATAGCAACACCCTAGCATCCACCCTGGGTACCCTAGCAACCGCATAGCAACACCTTAGCAACCAACCCGGGTACCCTAGCAACCGCATAGCAACACCATAGAAACCACATAGAAACACCATAGAATCTATTAATCTACATCTAAAATTTCTAATTTAATATTTCCTATCTATCTATCTATCTATCTATCTATCTATTCTTCTGATAAATTGCATTGTCTTCAAAACCTTAAAACTTTAAAAGTATTTTAAACTTCAAACTAGTTCAAGCTGAAAACCCTGAAACTTAAAGCTTTTAAAACGACTTCAAACTTTCTAGCTAGGCTTTTTCAAGCCAACTTAAAGTTTGTCTACTTAAATTTGAGAAAGAACAAGAAATTCCCAAAAGGAATTGCAGAAATGATGGTTAAAGTAATAATGGATGAAATGGACTGTCAAGCAAGCAGGAGGTCAGTCCCACTTTAATCTAGAGATATAGATATATATTTAATGCTAAGCATGCCAGAGATTCATCCGGAAACGGATTCTGCATATAGTGTACTGTTATTGCTATGTTTTATTATTATTATGTCTTTCTCTCTTTCTTATTCATTTAATGCTTTTGTCCAGAAAAGTAGCTGTGGTCAAAACTACCGCAGATATCACTGGTCAACATGTGTAGCGGATGTTTGCAAATAAATCCCAAAAACTGTGTGTTAACATTCAGAAAGCATAGAAATGTTGGTTATAAGTCAGGAGCTCACGTCTGCATCTTTGGCAGAGGAGCCTGCTTCTCTTTCTACTTTCTACTTCCTCACAGAGCTTTAAGTCTTCATTATTAATGAATATGTTGCAAGCTTTGGCTATTTGTTAACAGCTGTTTGTTCAGTTCTGAAGACTGGTGTAAAATGAGATTGTTGAGTTTATTTGTGTCAGCTTCTGATGTTCGAGCTTCTGTCTGAGAAACATAACACTGCTAATTAGGACTATATAAGTAATGCACAGTTAGGATTAGATGTTTGCTGCACAGTAAGAGCAGCTGCAGGGTTTCTCTGACTGAGCTGCTTCTTCAGAGGACTTTCATTCTGCTCTGCGGCGTGACGTCATAAGCCTGCGCGCGCGCTCCCGCGTCTGTTGTGATTCGGCTCAAGAGAGGTCTGTGTTTTTAAGCATTTAAACTGTTTTAACTGATAGAACCCGTTCAGTCCATTATATAGTTGTTAAGCGACGCAAGATTAATGATCTGCTATTGAATGTAACGTTGTAATGCTTTATCTAACATTAATAAGCGTTATTTAGTGTGAGTAAACGCGTCCGCACACGAGTAACAGAAGCGGTGCGTCTGAATCAGTTCATCATAAAGTAAGAGCCCACTTCAGTGCTGGACATCTGTTATTGTGACGTCACCCAGTAAATCAGGAGAAATAACAGAACTCAGAGAACTAACAGAAGGAGCCTAAACAAAACCAGTAGTTTGAGTAACGTTAAACCATATATCTGCTTAACTGAAGAACAAAAACCATTCATTTCTATTCGGGATGCACTGATACCAAAGACTACGTGTCACTTGTATAGTTTTGAATGGGGACAAATACAGCGCTCTAAACAGCCATTCTATCGAAGGAAGCCACGCCTCCGGAAGAAAAGACCCAATCGCTATTCGGTAAAGTCAGCGCATCACTGCAGCTGCCGTTAGAGCCCCGGTTGCTGTTAGGGCTGGGTATCAATTCAGATGCTCCAATTCGATTCAATTTCGATTTTCGATTCGATTTTCGGTTCGATATTCGATTTCGATTTTTGATTTCAATTCTCGATTCGATTTGACTATATGAATGAATATAGATATAATACAAATCCTATATTTATAAAAAATGAACAGTGAACATAAGATTACAAATGGTTAATTAATAGGAAATTAAGAGCCACAAACCTGTATATTAAACACTTTTTATTTTAGGTACACTTGGGTACAATAAAACAAAACCCAACTCTATATTTCAAATGCATACAATGAATAGACAGAATTTTGATGCAAGATGAAAAACTGATGCTAAAAATTAGACAAGTCAGAACAGTGGCATGCCTTGATCAAACAGGATCAGGTTATTTTATGTTTAAGACAAAACAAACATAAAATCTCACAGCATTAGCTGTAACATGGAGGCTGCAAGCCTATGAACGGTGTAGGAAAACTAATACTGGCTTTTGGGTGATAGTTCACCCAAAAATAAAAATTCTGTCATCATTTATGCATGTATGAATTTCTTTTCTTCTGTTGAACACAAAAGAAGATATTTTGAAGAATATGGATAACCAAACTGTTTTGGTCCCCATTGACTACCATATATATATACTGAATCAACCACATTTTAACAAACGATATATCGAAAAATCGATTTTTTTTTTTGCCCAGCCCTATACCTTACCAAAACAGACTGTAACAGTATTATTTAAATTATATATGTAAAAAAAAAAAAAAACTTGCTAGACAACAAAACCTTTTTACACTTTCTTTCAAATATTTCCAAATAATCATGTAAACAATACACCCTATAGTCTTTCAGCTAAAGGGAACGGTTGGATGCACGTCTTTCGGCTGTGATGGGCTGTTATAACAACAATAAACAGAGAAAACTAGTGGTACAACTGACTGGAAAATGACAGTACAGATCAATGGTGACTAAGACAACCACATAAGTGGCTGGATCTCAGAAAAAGTGGCACAGTTCCTGGTGGTTGAGCCTGAAGAAAATACTGTACCAGTAGTTTTGGAATTTATACTGACCTGGATGCACAAAGTTAGTTTATTAACTAACAGCAGTTAGTTGCCGGTTCACAGTCATAATTGATGAAAAACACTACGTTAAACATATCATTTATTAGTAGTAGCAGTATAATAAAGCAGCTTTGTCTAGACTGGAGTCGCTTGTGAGTATAGTTTGGGGTCAGTAAGATTTCTGAAAAAGCCTGCATTTATTAGATCAAAATACAGTTAAAACAGTAATATAAAATTGTAAAATATTATTACAATCTAAAATAACTGTTTTCTGTTTTACTATATTTTAAAATGTAATTTATTACTATGATGGCAAAATTGTATTTTCAGCAGCCTGAGTGATCCAGTCTTCAGTGTCACATGATCTTTTCTAATATGCTGATTTATGCTAATTAATGTTTGTGGAAACACTGATATATTTTTCAGGATATTTTATATATTGAGCAGAAAGTTCAGAACAGCAATTATTTGGGGAAAAAAATATGTAAATGTATTTAATTTAATTACATTTAAATGTAAATGTATCTAATCAATTCAAATGTATCTAATAAATACATTTAATTACAATTTAATACATCTTTGTATAAAACCTTTTATTTTCAATGCACCGCTCCACGGTATGTGCTCTTCTCAATCAAGTCTAAATGCTTCCCCAGAATTAGTACTGCTGTCAACTAACAGATGGATCAGTGACTCGATTGAATCGGTTGCTTCTCAAATGATTCAGTGACTCGAATCTCCGCTCGCTGACGTCACCTGCTGAGAACAACAAACACAACTCTTACAAACTTGCTGAAAATGTTCTCATGCAAGTGTAATTTAAATTCTGATTCGCCGTATATACATCACAACTAAATATGAGCTGTCTGTATAACTTGTGCTCTTTGCACTGGTTCTGAGTGTTTTTGTCTCATCAGGTGATTAACTCTCGCTCCCTTACTAGTGTGCTGACTACTGAACTAGGGAGCTGATGGAGAGATGTAGTTTAGAGGGTTTATTGTGCTCTCTGTTCATTGTTCTCTTCATCTTAAACAGAGAAACTCCCGCTGAAGCGACTGAGAGCCTCGTCACACACTTATAAAGATGGCGTTTATTAAAGAGGAGACTGAAGACTTCAGGATTGAAGAAGTGTTCAGTCTGAAACAAGAAGACACTGAGGAACAAACAGGTTGGTTTCGCTCTCAAAGCTCAGCTCGCTCGTTTGGAAATGTCCAGCTCTGCAGAAATGAATGGTGTTTGTGAAGTGTCCTCATTAAAGTGGTTTTATTTGACACGGAGCCTCAGGTGGACAGATGTTGAGATCACGTGACCAGACTAATACTAAGTGCACCTGAGGAAGAGCCCACTTCAGTGCTGGACGTCTGTTATTGTGACGTCACCCAGTGAGAAATAAGAAATAACAGAACTCAGAGAACTAACAGAAGGAGCCTAAACAAAACCAGTAGTTTGAGTAACCATATATCATATATCTGCTTAACTGAAGAACAAAAACCATTCATTTCTATTCGGGATGCACGGATACCAAAGACTACGTGTCACTTGTATAGTTTTGAATGGGGACAAATACAGCGCTCTAAACAGCATTCTATCGAAGGAAGCCACGCCTCCGGAAGAAAAGAGCCAATCGCTATTCGGTAAAGTCAGCGCATCACTGCAGCTGCCGTTAGAACCCCGGTTGCTATAGAAACAGTCAGCGCTCTTGAGACGTGCGCTTAGGACCGCGCATGCACTCTAGCCTGAAAAATACGCTTTTTAACGCTAATGAGCGAAAAAATAAATGTTTATTAGATATTTGTTGTCAGAATTCATTGGTGGTTTCAAATATGAAATGTAATTGTAAGCTTGGTGATACTGCGCTCTTGCTCTACTCGTAATCCTATATCGGTCGGATATGTCAAAAACAAGTAAAACAATGCACAAGCTACTAAAGATAGGATACTTGACGGTAAGGAGAGCGAGAGAGCGCGCCCTTCTGCTGCATGATCGCTCACTCAGCACACGCATCATGTGGATTGAAACTAAATCGTAAATGTAAAACAAACAAAAATTATAGGAGCATTCGCCGCAAACGTTTATTTTAAATGTCAAGCATACGCAACTTATTTAAAGTGAAACTAGCAGCTTGTGTGAAATGCGCTAGGCTATACGCGTCTCTCATTCTGCACCAATACAGATGTGTACGAGCGGTGCAA